CTTTGAAGACCGGAACATTCTGCCTGAAGTCTTCCTGTATTGCCATTTAACTGGCGTAAGGCAGACCTGATATTCTCCTCAATTGGATTCTACAATAGATATAGTAGAGATTTCCTCCACTAGTGAAAAAGGACAAACAAAGAACTTACCTGAGGAAATATAGCAGTTAACTCGGCCACAGCAACGCGTATTCTCTCAGCGCAAGGAACGAAAGCTTCCCGTTGACTTGGGTCTTGCATAGCCATCCATAGTTCTTGAATTCGCCTGGTAACTTGTTCTGTTCGTCGCGTTACTTCTTCACTGGGTGGCAGATTAAGTGGACCACATTCCCACAAGCTTTGCGTGTTATTCCGTGATAATACTTCGGTATCGCGTTTTGTCTAATAAAATAATACAATTATATATGGTGTACATATACCAAGCCTCTGTAGTTTTAATTGTGAGAAACACCTATTTAGTTAGCGGAAGATCTAAAGTTCGATTCCTAGCCGAGGTAATATTTTTTGCAATAAATTATTTGCAATTTTTAAATTTCATCAACATATGACAACATTTTTGTTAAAAGATGCTAATTAGAGCATAAAAAATTAATGAATTATTAGTATAATTTAATAAATAATATTACTATTCTGGTTTTGCTCATGAATGCGTTTTAAGTCCAGGAAAGCATTTCGACGCGCGATATGTAGAATCAGAATATATGTATATAAATTCATAAGAAATATGTATACTTAAGCACTAAAATCCGTTTCAACCAAGTATAGGGTACCTCTCATTTAAAAAATTGGATTGTTTAAAGAAAAGATAATTACTTGGCAAATAGTTGTTGACCATGCTGGTTTCCGTAGGCCTTCTCTAGTCTCATACATAGATGCCGGTCGTTGATTTCCACGTATAGTGGACGTTTTGATGTCATGCACCGGCTCTAATTCAGGTTCTTGTTCCCCAACAATATGTCCATTCATATTCCCATCACCAGAACCTTTGATCTAGATTAATCCAATTTTTTATATTTGTGACATTTATCATGAGATTGAACATTAATGTATTATAAAATCGATAACGTTATTCAATAAAATTCTATAATAGTTACTTGTAACATATGCTTTAACTCGTTGTTCTCTTGAGTGAGTTGCTCAATGGCAGTTTGCAAGGTGTGTACCTGCTCGCGGAGATCTCGTACTGTTGATTCGGATAAGGTCAATTGTTTTTTTAAAACTTCTACCATAGATGGAAGACCCTTGGCGATCGGTGTAAATGTTTCCTGAAACAATATAATACAATAATAATTTTTGCTTTAAATTAACATACATTGCAACAAGTACAGAACATGTTATAATGATCACGCAAACAAATTGTTACAAATATTAATGTATATATCTATATTATATATCATTATACTATTGTGTTATTAAATCATGGTATAAATTGTTTAGTAAATTGCGTTTAGTAGATTGCTAATCAGTATATGAATCAGTCTAATTAATGTTTCACAATGGTCAAAATTTACACTGTTGGCAATGATTGCACATGCACATACAGATCTGTGCACTTGCCTAGTAACATCGCCTACAGAAAAGCCATGTGCTCAGCCAATTCCTTATTCCTCTTTTTGTTAATAGTGCTGGTACCTTTAATTAATATTTTACCACAAACAGGTAAATGTGACTAATACCGACTTTTGTAAATTTATATACATACTTTTTTTCATTTCACTACTGATGCAAGTTAAAGAAAAGTGAACAATTTGTAAAACTAGAATATACTTCCGTATATATCTTACAATTAGTTTATAGTAGTTAGAAAAAATAAAACGTCCTATTTCTATGCAAGAACGTCTAATATTTTTTATTATTATTCCAAGGATGGATATAATCACGTTTGTTAATACATTTCTTTCATATTTAAATTTAGAGCTTTTTAATTACCTCATGACTAACTTACTTCTTTATTAGTTTTCAGCTGGTTTGAAATGTCAGATGAAGTAGATGTTAGAGCAGCATAATCATCGTCAGACGCAACACTGTCGTACAAAGGCTCATCGTCAGACACTTGCGATCCATGCTTACCAAGTTGCTCTTTGCGAAGCATAGATACCGCGGGATCTAAAGAAGTATGAAGATACAAAAATGTATAAATGATGAACAAATACTCTCATAAAATAACTGCGCTAATAATTTGGTAATATTACTTTGAAGTGCATTGTTGGCAAGCGTATGTCTTCGACTCGCTTCAACCAGTAAATCTACGATAAGAGTAGTGAATTCCTTGGGTGTGAATCTTGCTAATTTTTGCCTCCCTTGGTTTCTAGTAGATGACAATTGTGGATTAACTGGCAGAAATGGAACGGTACATTTCTCCGGGAGGGATGCAGTTGAAAACCAGACTATGCATAAAATAGGAAAATCTACTTGTCTGAGCATATCATGTTTCAATCATTAATTGTTTATATACTTTGTTATTTATTACTAAATTTTTGCTGAAGTTTAAATATTTACTCACCCTTCCAAAGGAGTAGCACGACAAAGAAATATAAATATCATTAATTATCTGTATTAGTATAAAATTCATGCATTCTATTTGTAACTATAGCATATCTAATTTCTAATAGATAAAAGAAAAGTGATACTCACTGGTTTCTGTTTCCCGGCGATCCACCTCATCATAAATATCCATGGCTAACTCCTCTAGCAAATGATTTGGTAACTAAAAAAAATTTATGTATAGAAAAAAACAATATATATAAATAAAACATACAAATGTCTATATACCGTTTGTAATCTGTTTCTTCCTTCTAAAGCTAACTCGTTTTTATCCAAGAAAGAAAACAAATCAGAACTAATGAGATGTTGATCACCTTGATGACTTGGTTTACGGGAGCATATATGATATGTCAGTCTATCTGTTACTTCATACATACATTCAATTATACGTTCAGATAAATCCATATGTCCTGCCATTCTGAAATGATAGAAAGGATACTTGAAATAAATCAGATATAATTGAAATACTATCTGTGGATGATAATGTTGCCTATACATACTTGGCAATATCAGCTGCTGTTTGTCCATTTAAATCAACTACACTTGGGTTTGCACCATTAGCTACTAAAAGTTCTACTTGGAGAACTTGACCAGCACGAGCTGCCACATGTAAGGGTGTGGTTCCTTTCTCCTACACACATATATGCACATGTGTCATTTTTTTTTAACAAAAGATTTTAACAAAGAAAAAACAAAAATGTCTCATCATAATACCACGATTATTTGCAATAACTGTGTCAGTATATTATATTTGAATAAATCATTATTACAATATATACCTTGTAAAAATAATTAGGATTAGCTCCCTGTGCCAATAGCCTTAATGAAGTTTCTAAATTACTTGTACGAACACTACTGTGTAACTGCCTATTCAGTTCCTCCTCGGTACAACATTCCTCCTTGCTTGGCCGTAATATAAAGGCTAAATGTTGATGCTTAGCCTTAATAAAATCTGCTTTTACTGGACTATAAACAAATAATAAAGTAAGAAATAATTGTACATCAATAAAATGCATCAAAACATTATCCTTCTATATATTGTTCAGAATAGAGTTTAATCTACAAAATTAACGAATAATTGATATAGTCTCCATTTATGATAAATCTAATTTATTCTAAAAATGTCAATTAGTATAAAATATTAATAAAAATTATATATTCAACAACAAAATAACACATGTATCACACATAATGGAATACTAACTGTAAAGGATCCTTTGGTTGTGGTTTTCGTCTACTAATCTTGGAGTTACTGGGATCTAGCAAGGAATGTTCCCAAATACTGTTGGCTCCATTATCACTCAATGTATGCACCATCTGAGAATGTTTATTCAGTTATTTCAAAAGTGATTTACATACATGTAAAAAGTTTAATAAAAGATCATCTCTCAAGGCAGCTGTAGCTATTGCATACTAACGTTCAATAGGTACGTATTCCAAACGCCTTTGTGTAATGATTTGATATGTGACACATGACGTCCTAGACTACGATGAATTCCACAGCAATCGTCGCATAATAAAATAGCTCTATTTATTGATGCCCATCCTGGCTCTGAAACAATAGAGATGATACTCACATAATTAAATAAGCTTTGCCATTTTGTAATATACTTGTAAGGAAAAATTGAAGTAATTATCTTAACCATGTTGGTGAGAATTCTGAATGACAAAAAGCTAGGTACGAGATTAACAATATCACACAATGTAAATTGCATTCGTATCTGTCTCACGTATATTTTATTATGTTGTAAGAAGAGAATTATGTGATCTCAATGAAGCTGTACGTGGCCGAATAATTATAATTAATAAAAATGATGAAAATAATGATGCTGTGCTCACCAAGTGTCCCGCAGTCAGCGCATAAGTCTGCGCTCGCTCTGTGTTTAGGACGCGCCATACTAGACTTTCGATTGATGGCACTCACTCCCGTACATTACAGTGTTTATTATGCTGTATTACACTGCATCGCGATTCTGCGATATAGACAATGAGGATGGACAGAGACGAAAACGAAAATAACAATTTAAAGTAAAGCGAAATAAAAACGTGAGTCAGATCGTTATTCCATTACGCTTTTATTTCATTTTTACTCTACCACTTATTACCTACTACCAAGTGCTACCAATAAATTCCTGATGATGCAGAATAATCGCTAGTTGCATTAGTCGTATGATCGTAGCGTCTGTCAGTGGCGAGTTTCATAAATTTCAAATCGAAAGTGGAAGATTGTTGATAAAATAGCGCTCTGTTAGCGTCTCGGTAGAGATCTATAAGTTTTTACACCGATCGAGTACGAGTGAAGATGATAGTGAGCTAAGATAATAATGATCTAATTAAGATGAATTGTACATCCTTCTTGGGAACGAAATTAATAAGAATAAAAAGTAGAGAATAATAACTCTATCTGAAATATTCTCAAAAGTTTCCCTTATTATTAACAATATCACACAATATAAATTGCATTGAAAAAAACACGTTTATTATGTAAAAATAACAATAATTACAATTATGATCAATTACGGTATAATGGTAGATAATGGTGGAAAAGGATTTTGTTTAGATATAACTAACTTTTTATGCTGGTAAGATATGTAACCTTTAATTTTGCCTTCATATATTAAATTGGCAAGAAGACATTCTGTTTCATCCATATCTATATCCTCCATTCCATACATCTGTAACGCCGCGATCAAGCTCATCACTGATATTTGATGTGTATTCAACGCCAAGTATACTTTCTTAAATAAATTTCTATAAGCGATTAGTTTGAGCTTTTCCACAATTAGATATATGCCTGCGTCGATGAAAAAGGTTTCATGTTTTGCCATTACTCTTTCTAAAGAACGTAAATCTCCTTTCCTTACAGATTCCCTTAGCTCCCAAAATTCCATCAAGTTATATTTCTCTAAGAGATGTTGCTTGGGCATATATCCCAGTAACATCTTGACCGGTACAAGATAAGTCAAGATCAATCTTTTATTCTTCGAGCATTGTATGTGACAATGTTCAAACGCATAAGTCAGATATTCGTCGGCTAAAACAATTTATGTTAGAGATATTATTTGAATAAAAATAAAAATTGCTATAGTTTGCAAGAAGCAAGACAAAAAATTATATTTACCAATCTTATAATCGCTGTCAAACATTGCTTTCCGACCAACAAAAAACTTGTAAGTAATTTGTTGTGCCAATGCAAAGTGATCTTTGTAAGGAGATGATTCTATGGCTCGTATCAAAGGTCTGCACAAATGTAATTTATTAATTCTAAAATAGACTTTCAGTAACTGATTAATTAAAGCTAGCATTCCCCATCGTTTTGTGTCTTCTTCCGAACTTCTACTGTCAGCTGCACAAACTCGAAAACAGGCCATCAAACATTCTGCACATTTCTCTAAAACTTCACCCGGCTTTACGTTCTTATTGTTTTTACAATTTTCTGCACCTATCGCCAATAATCTTAGTTCCAAACACATTACATTCATTACTGGCAACATCCAATTTTCTTCCTTTTGCATTTGTAGAATCTTTGCAAGATATTGTACAGCTGAGCTTTGATAATTGTATATAACCAATGGATCATTCTTTTTCATAGCAGATGCAGCTCTATGAGAAATAAAAAAATTAATGCACACAATGTGAAATACATTTGTTAAAATAAGTTAAAAGAAATGTATTTTACTTTAAGTGACAAAGTACCAAGTCGTCTAATGGTGTAGATATATGCTCCATGACTTTGTTTATGGCACTTTCCGATCCAATTTGAGGCATTAAAACATGATTGTGTCGCAAAGACAAGAGATCCTATAAAAAATTTAATATTTATACGATTGACATAATCCTAGATTAAAATATTCGTGCATTATTTACCGCCAATCCTTCCCCGTCTTGGTTGAGCCACACTCGCCGAATCTGCGAAATAAACAAGGTGAAAATCGATATTAATGCAGTCCATTACTGTGTTAGTATTTATCAACTTTGCATCCTACCTGCATTACATAAGAATCCATTTTGATTGTACTTAAAAAAATATTGATTCTTCGCAGATAAATAAATTTTCAATCAAATGATAGACTGTACCACAAAGCGTATACCTGCCAAACTGTGTCAAACCATGATGTAAGGAAACATCATGGTGTCAAACTATGCATGCGCACAACGCAATTTTACAGTAAGCAGTTTGTAGATTGAAATTGTAACGTTTCCGTCCGCCATTTTGAATTTAAATAGCGGTAATTTTAAACTAATGTATTGGGATGAATAGATCAAAAAGCAGGGCCCATACTCTGTAAAACATACACGTCTACCAATGTACAGAATATGGACACTGATTAGTGATCATGGGATAAATATTGATAAAATCAAGCGTTAATTTTGATCACGCGACCTATGTATTGACATTATAAATGAGCATAAATATGAAAAACTACATTACATTATAGAGCATGAAAATGTGACCGCATTAACGGCTTCAGCGCATGTAAGCGCATGCTCACATCGCAATATTTCGTAGCTATGACAGATTTCCTAACCTGAATACTTGAATAGTCGTCATTTTTACTCGATTAATGTCTCGTTTTACAGTGCAGAACGACGTTCTTTTTTTCTAGTCAAATCCGATTTTTTACACAAAAAACGTATCTATTGGGTGTATTGTTATGAAGATTTGAGGTGGATGAGGTATTCTTAATATTTAAAATAAAAAAGGAAATTTTTGTAACATCACAATGTAATTCACACGACAAACATGACAAATTATCTACATGATTAAAAATGATTGAAAAAGCAAGAACGATTGTATACATATAAATGTTTATATGGCTATTACTTATCTATCGATAAACAGTGAAATCAAGTGAAATGCAGTGAAATGGCTATCAGATATCATATTGGTTAATGGATAAATAATTTCATTGCGAATCGTTCAAAGCGAATTCGCGAAGTAGCAACTTGAATTTATGGAAATCGTAATAAATCTGAATTGTATTATCGAACCGGAGACGTCAGATAATTGAGAATATAAAATCCGTCCTTAATATGTAGTCCCTTAATTCGCAATAGTGGATAAATTAGGTTAAGATCGAGTAGACTTAATTTACTTTACTTCAATATCGAACTACCAGTTGAAGTTGACAAAAAACTGCTGAATTTAGTATTTACAATTGATATGAAATTAAACTCAAATTCAATGCAAAATCAGATTTGTAATAATGAGGACTAGAAAGACTATTGCTATTCTTGGAGCTGGTTTGATCCTGGCTTGCTGTGTGATGATTTATTTAATGATGGATCTAACTCTTCTTCCACCTGGACAAGGTCCTAAACTTTCCATGAGCAATGTAAGATATCATTTATTTAGTAATATATATTTTCAATATGATTAAGGAGAAAAGTATGTGAAATTATAGAGAAGCTGTCTTACTACACTCCTTGTTCTTATTGCTAATCAGCACATTCAAATCATCATTTTCAAATGTATTTTTTCTTTCAAGCTAGATTTACTGTGATTTAAAAAAAAACTCGTTTTTTTTGTTTTAGAATCAGTGGCTCCATTTGGAGAACAGATTAGCAAAATTAGAAAAGGACTTTGATAAACATCATAAAGTTATGAACGCCTTGCAGGAGCAAGCAGCAAAAATCAAAAATAATTTTGTACCTACTGTACAACCAAGTCATTTTAATCACTCTAATGCTAAGAATTCACGTTTAGAAAAAAGCCTCACTTGTAACTTTAATATTCAGAAAGTCCCAAAGGTCGATATACAGATGTTAGAATTGTATAAACAATTGGAGTTTGATAATCCAGATGGTGGAGTTTGGAAGCAAGGTTGGAACATTATGTATGATGAAAAACAGTGGCATCCCAATAGAAAATTGAAAGTTTTTGTTGTACCTCATTCGCATAACGATCCTGGATGGTTAAATACTTTTGAAAAATACTATATGTTCCAAACAAGGAGCATATTGAACAATATGGTGACCAAATTAATCGAGGATAGGAGACGTAAATTTATTTGGGCGGAAATATCTTTCTTTAAACTTTGGTGGGACGATCAGTCGAAAGAAATAAGAGACGAAGTACGTCGTCTAATTCACGATGGACAATTGGAGATTGTGACAGGAGGATGGGTGATGCCAGATGAATCTGTATCTCATTGGATTGCTCAATTGACGCAATTAACTGAGGGTCATCAGTGGCTAAAATATAATCTGGATTATACACCAAATTCTGGATGGGCCATTGATCCTTTTGGTCTTTCTCCCACTATGCCGTACCTTTTGAAGAATTCAGGCTTGGAAAACCTTTTGATACAAAGGGTTCATTATTCAGTAAAAAAGAGACTCGCCAAAGATAAAAATCTCGAATTCCGTTGGAGACAATTATGGGACAATGATGGCTCTACAGAATTGTTAACTCACATCATGCCATTTTATAGCTACGATGTTCCTCATACTTGCGGCCCGGATCCAAAAGTATGCTGCCAATTTGATTTTTATAGAATGCAGAACTTTGGTCTGAGCTGCCCATGGAAGATTCCGCCGAAAACCATTACCAGAGCAAATGTAGCAGAGAGAGCATTACTTTTATTGGATCAGTATCGCAAGAAAGCGCAACTGTTCAAGACAAACGTAGTACTTGCGCCTTTAGGCGATGACTTCAGGTATACACATCTCACAGAATGGGAAGCTCAATATGACAATTATCAAAAGCTTTTCAATTATATGAATGAAAATCAACATTTAAACGTCCAAATACAATTTGGAACATTGAGTGATTATTTTGAGGCAATCAGAGAAAGACACAATTTTAATGAATTTCCTACATTGTCTGGAGATTTCTTCACGTATTCAGATAGAGATGATCATTATTGGAGTGGCTACTACACCTCTAGGTACAAGTTTCTTTTTAAAACAAAAATTGTTCTGCACTTAAATAAATCATCTAATGAAATTCTTAAATCTGTGTATGTATAGACCTTTTCATAAAAGATTGGATCGTGTATTGTTGGGTTCCTTAAGAGGATCAGAAGCATTAGCTGCTATAGCTTGGGCTAAAAATAATGATCAACTGGTAGAAGGAAGCCTTGCATCTCGATTAAGCAAAGCTAGGATGTGGCATTCTCTGTTTCAACATCACGACGGAGTTACCGGAACTGCAAGAGATAATGTTGTGATAGATTATGCCCAGAAGATGATAATGGCATTGAATAACTCAGCACATGTACTGCAACAATCTATAGCGCACTTATTGAGAACTCCTCAAACATCACCTATCGATGTAGAAACTGTGTATTTCTCATTGGATGAAACTAGGTATTAAAATATTTAATAATACGAATAATATCAATATTTCGTGTATAAATTCATATAAATTTTATACAGATATCAAATATATATAATTTTTTTCAAAGGTCGCATCACACGAGTGTAGGTGAGAAGCATGTTCTCAATCTTGGAGACGATAAACCGTCGAGAAAAATTATCCTATATAATTCTCTCCCAAGACACAGAACAAAAGTGCAAACTTTGATTGTATCGACGCCATTCGTTAGAGTTACAGATCGAAGAGGACAGGCTGTTAAATGCCAAGTATCTCCTGTTTGGATTGGACCAGCTGCATTGTCCGCGGCTAGATATGAATTATCATTTTTAGTTACTGTACCAGGATTTGGTATCACTACATATATAATTCACGCATTACACAAAGCGTCATATACAAAGTAAGAGCACAATTACGTAAAAAAATTTATTACATGCAATATCATATCCTGTATTCATTTCAGTAGCATAAAGTAGTACAAAACTTTTACTAGCTGTTAAATATATATTTCTTTAATCATCTTATAAAATATTGCACAATCCTTACACATACTAAAAAAAAATAAGATTGTTGAAGATTTTATTTTCTTTTTCGAACAGGGAAGTATATCTATCTAATGTTACTATTTTCAATACTGACATGAGTCTGCCATCGATACCTGGTTTCAGTCATTTGACAATTTCGTCGCATACGCAAGAATTTTCAATTTCTCAACGGCCGAATTTATCTGCCTCTTTCGGAAAATCTGGTTTGTTGAAGGCTTTACGAGTCGGCAACACCATGTTTCCTGTACATCTAGATTTTGTAAAATATGGTACTAGAAGTTCCGGTAAAGATAAAAGTGGCGCTTACTTATTCCTGCCTGACAAATCGGAACCAGATGTGGTGTTTATGGACGGCAGGGCAATTATTCATTTAGTAACTGGACCAATTCTGTCGAAAGTGTTTATAGAATTACCATACATACGGCATACTTGTACACTGTTTAATTCTCCTGACAGTGATGGGCTCGGATTACACATTTTTAATGAAGTCGACATAACGGAGACACAAAACTACGAACTTGCAATGCGTTTCAACACAGATATTGCATCCGGCAACCAATTCTTCACAGATTTAAATGGATTCAATGTAAGCATATGATGCAATGAATTAAGTTATATAACTTATTAACTAAGATTTGTTACACCTTTTTTGTTGATTGTGATGTATATTTTATTCGATTAATTATAGATAATCCGACGGCAAAGATTTTCTAAGCTTCCCACGCAAGGAAATTATTACCCGATGGCAGCAAGCGCATATATAGAAGATAAAAGAGTTAGATTAACAGTTGCTACAGCACAACCGTTAGGGGTAGCCTCTATGGCATCTGGTCAACTTGAGGTAAGTTAGTAAGCTGTCTTTTCAAAAAATGTTTACTTGATGTAAACAAGTCAAATGAAAAGTTAAATATAACAAAACTTGCATAATATTATTTACGTAATATAGTAAGATATATGTGTAGTCTAATTTTTATTACATCTTAATTTTAAAAACATGCATCATATACAATATATATATATATATGCGCGCGCGCGCGTGTGGTAAACATTTTTTAAAAAATATCAGTAGTTGAAGTATTTTTATATAACAATATGAAAATATAAAATTATCAAAAAAGTTAAAAACGAGTTAACGATAAAAAATGGTGGCAATAAATTATACATTTAATATGTTTAGAACATTAAAATTCGAGCGAAACTAGATTCAACATTACATATCTTCTTC